GGGTGTGAGGAGGAAAGAGGCATCACTCACACACGCGCGCGCACACACACACACACACACTCCTGTAGGTGCATTTTCCTGCAGCCCCAAAGGTTCCATTGAAAGGCATCACATTTGTTTTACCTAAAGCAAAGGCCACCCCATCCAAACAAGGGCTCCAGAGATGCAGGCAGGAGGCCACATGGCAAAGGGGCCCCCTGCTCTGCGTTGTAGGGATTGAATCAGGCAATCATTTTTCAATGTATCAAACACCCAAAGCTCTTCCAATTCTACCAAAGTGAAAAGAGCAGGTTTCGATGATTCTAGATTCTAGGATTCTTGTGTCATTCTACAACGGCTTATCAAGGTTGGGTCTGTGCCAAGCTCTGTGCTGGAATGTGACCTTGGACAAGCCCTTCCACCTCTCTGAACCTATCTTCTCATTTACAAAGTGGGGCCACAATTCCCCATCTCAGAGGGATTGCTATAAGGCTTAGAAATAATGCACGTGGGCTGGGCATGGTGGCTCACGCCAGTAATTCCAGTACCTGGGGGGGCCAAGGCAGGCAAGATTACTTGAGCCAAGGGGTTCGAGACCAGTCTGGGCAACATGCCAAAACCCCGTCTCTACTAAAAATACAAAAGGTAGCTGGGCATGATGGCTCACGCCTGTCATCCCAGTTACTCAGGAGGCTGAAGCACAAGAATCGCTTGAACCCATGAGGCAGAGGTTACAGTAAGGGGACATTGCACTACTGCACTCCAGCCTGGGTGACAGAGCAAGATTCTGTCTAAATATATATATATTACAAAAATTGGCTGGGCATCATGGCATGCACCTGTAGTATCAGCTATTTGGGAGGCTGAGATGGGAGGATCATTTAAGCCCAGGAGGTCAAGGCTGTAGTGAGCTATGATCATGCCATTGCATTCCAGCCTGGGCAACAGACTGAGACCCTGTCTCAAAAAATCCACTCCCAGGTTCAACGCAATTCTCCTGCCTTACAGCCTCCCGAAGTAGCTGGGACTCAGCAGGCGTGGCGCTACACATGCTAGCTTAATTTTATGTAATTTTTATTTAGAGACGAGGTTTCGCGCATGCGTGGCGGCAGGCCGATCGTCTTGATCTCTTGACCTTGTGATCCTCCTTGCCTCTGCCTCCAAAAGTGGTGGGATTGCAAGGCATGAGCCAGCCGCGCCAGCTCTTTTACTCCTTCCTTCCTCTTCCTTTCTTCTTCCTTTTTCTTCTTCTTCTTTTCTTTCTTTCTTTCTT